TGGCCTGTCGGGATAATGGATGAAAGAGCTGCAAAGCCATTCATCCTTTCAAATCCAACATTTGGGAAATACTAAAAACATCTGACTAAATATTTAACAACCTCTCTTTAACCCTTCTGAAATACCTTATCGCATCTGCTTTGGTGGGAAATTTGTTCTGTATTTTTAGTGGTTAAATTTGAACTAACACCATTACCCTTAAGTATGTGTACACCCACTTGCAGAGTCAGTTGACTTCACAGTTGCCTGTGCTTTTTTTTTTTTTAAACTCCCATTTGGTACCTTGAATTTTCCCCCCATGTCTATCTCTTCCATACAGTAACTGTTGTATTTGTCATGTTTCCTCCTATTGTTTAATTTCAGAGTTTAATGATAAAAATAAAAGGGGTAAGAACACTAGCTATTTTTGTCTTATGCAAAGAATATAGAATCTTTGCATTATTTAAATAAAATTGCTCAAAAATACAAATGGTGCTTGCAATGAATAGTAGATTTATTGTTTTTGTAATGTAAGTGTAAATTACTGATGGAGTTAAACCTGACAGTTATTGGAGGTGAATATTTTAACTGCAAAGTCTACCGAAATGGCTGCACATGTGGAGAAATACACAAAGCATTGAGCAAAATGCTCATGTTTGCTTGATTTATTCTCTGCAGCAGACGAACTCTGGTAGTAGGAGGTGTAATTTGCAGCACATTAGCTATTAGCCAGTGTCATTGCTTGAGTGGGTGGTGTGAGTCTCTTGTGCCTGTACAGTGTCACACTGCGCATGTGTCAGAGCCAGCCGCTTCTCCCCTGTGCTCCAAGATGAATTTTTTGTGAACAGTGTTCTGTATTTAAAACTGTGAACCTGCTAGTTTTCAGATGGGCTGTTCTGTCACACAGATAATATATAGAGTAAATGCCCTCCCTCCCCAAAACTCTTAATGCTTTGCAAAACTGAATTGTTGAAGTGTTTTGACTTTCCTACCTTTCTTGGTATTCCATCCTTTGGGGATGAAGTATATAATTTGCAAGATACCCCGTAACGCAGAGCAAAGAAAATTGTGTTTAATGTTTCCTTTTTGGGTACCCTGTGCGTGTACTTGTGGTGTTCAGCAGAGGTTTTCCAAAAGACTTTCAGCTTGATGCATCTATTTTTTGTCTGTGTGCACAATTTCACTTGGGTTGCTTTTAGTTCACTTTTTTCCCTAGAGGCACCTGTCTCCTGCCACGTACCCATCAAGACTAATTGCACCATCTGGAAGACTTTTGTGTAGCTGTTACTTGTGTGGAATATCTCTTGGGAGCCTAATTCAGAATGTGAATGTGACCCCTGAAGCCATGTCAAGTAGCTGCAGTAGGTTCTAGTGTCTGAAGGATGATCACCGTAGGCTTTATTTGTTTCAAGTCTAAGGTGGTTTGCTTTAGCATGGATATGGTACATGTCAGTAATGCAACTTCAGTCGGTTTTGAGTGGAATTAGACTTTGACTACTGGTTTGGTAATTCATAGAAAATCCTGTCTGAAAATTACATCCAAACCGTATGTAACATATAGGCTATAAGATTAGGTGTAGAAATGGCAGACCTGTTGCTCCTTATTATTACGCTCTTTGATTTTTATGTCCTGTTCTTCCCCCCAAACTGCACTTCTCATTAATCGCTTTCTCCTAAGAATGCCGGGTGTTTGTCGCTGGTGGTGTTGTGACCCTGCTCAACAGCACCCAACACTTGCTTTTGTTGCTGCTACAAAATGGATTGATTGATTGATTATTTTCAGCACAGGTGATTTTCTGCTTCTGTTCCTCACCTTGTCTGGATCAGGTGGAGTTGCTTTAGTGCTTCACTTCCAGTGCTCTCTGTCTAGGCAAGGGCTTAGTTAAAGGAAGGCACTGTATAATCCTGCGGTGAACACCTTTCTTCTCTACTTCTGTAATATCCTGTCCCTTGGCAAGCTCTAGAGCACTGTCAGGCATGACAAGCCAAAATGTTCCAGTTGTTAAAAGCATCACCATAATCTGCAGTATTTTGGTTTTGTTTGTTTGGTTTGTTTTTGTTTTTTTTTTAAAAAAAGTGTTATCAAGTTCTCATGGGATCCTGCATGTAGTAAGGCACTGTGATTTTTACATGGGACATACGTATGTGGGGAAAAAAAGCAATTTTTTTTTTTAAAACCACTTTTCTTTAAAAATGATGGAGTTGTAAAGAATGTTGAGGGAATATAGTTGTATTCAGTTGCATCATCTGTGTAACTTCTGTGGTTGTGAGTAATGTGGTCAAATGAAGTTCAAGCCAGAGAATTACTTACACCACCACAAACAATTATGAATTCCATATACAGGATGCATACAAACTATATATTATTCAGTATATGTATTTTCTGTTTTTTCCTTGGTAGTTCAATGTTCATTGTTGCTCTGACTTTGGAAATCTATGGACTTTAACATTTTAGTTTAAGTTTTAACTTAAGTTTTAACTGTCTTGCCTGCATTTTGTAAACTGTATTTTGGAACCTCCTAAGAAAAGGTGGGGTTTTTTGTGTGCTTGGTGAGAATAAAGGTATGCAAGTTATAAATTTACAGAATGCTGAAGGCAAACTGTCTCCTCCTCCTTAAAATCCCTCACTACACATACCTGATAAATAAAATAAAGGTACACGCTGCAGGACCACAGGGTGTGCTCCTGGCAGGAGACCTGAGCTGCACCGGCTTTCCTGGGTTTGAGTGGTTGGGAAATACTGGGGGGCTGATCTAAAAAATAAAACATTTATGCACTGGAAAGTTTTATATGGTATCTACCTTTCACTGGTTTTTATGCCGTTTTAGTCAGGGTTGTGTTGTTGGGGGGGTGAGTTTGTTGATTTTTAAGTTTTGGGGGTTTTTTTTAAGGCTCTTTGTGAGAGTGGTGGGTCTGTGGCCTGGTTTCTCCTCAAGGAGTTGTTTGAATTTCACATGCTAAAACCTGTGCTGAGTGTCTTCTGTTAAAATATTGATTACCCATGTTCTCCTAATTTTCAGAAACATTTTAATTGGTTTATTTTAGGATAATTAGCAATGTTATGTGTTAATTGCCATTTGAATTTCACTGCTCTGTTAAGAGAGACGAACATTTAATTGCATTATTGCAGATTAAGATTGGTGGTTAGTCCTTGCTTTTGGCTGGTTTTCAGCTTTGACTGAATGTTTGGTGTCCACTTGGTTCTTAAAACCTCAGCTAAGTTGAAACAAACTCTGTGTGTGAGGCCATGCACGCTTGTTCTCTGTTTTGGAAATTTAGCAGAAGTTGATACCTGCTCTGAGAGCGGGGTGTAGCACCACCAGGCTCTGTACACCTCACTCCTACCTTGTCCTAGGTGGGCCAGACAGCCTACAGGAAAAGCAAATGGGATGTGGGTATATTAGAAAGGCACAGAACAAAACAATACATAGCCTCATTTGGCTCATTAGGCCCTGCCAGAGCTAAAAATGTTGTGGGTTGTGGTAGAAAGCCATAGTGGCCTCCTCTTATGTTAATTGTTAGCTGTGTTTGTAAGCTGTAGCTGCACTGAGTGTGAGCTCAGGGCTTCTCTGGAGGGGGAAGTATTAGCCTGGAATGAGGGGAGGTGTGAAGGTCAAGCCCAGCAGTTGCCTAGTACCAGAACCTCCTCTTTCTCCTCCTAGAGCTTTTTGAGACATGTAGTTTGTGCCATTTCCCCATCACTGTAGGAAAGGTTGTAAAGACTCGACAGTCAAGATTTTTTTTCTTTTTTTTTGCAGTAGTGCAAGAGCTCTCACACAGAAGGGTGCTATTTAAATTATTTGGTTTTTAAATGTTTGAGTCTTTGTAAAATGAAATAGTATACTGAAGATATTCTTGTGTTGTGAAGTGGTGTAAATGTAATGTAAAAAAATTGTAAAAAAAATCCAAAGAAACTTTAAGATTGCATCTACTGTTCTCTTTATTCCAAGATCAACATCTTAGATTTTCACTCAGATGTTTTAAAGACAAGTTCTGTTTTGATTTCCTTCAGTTATTAGGGCTAAAATGATACTCTGGAATAAAATTACTGGAAATGCTTAGTAATCTATGATGTAGTTCTTCATATGATTTATTTAACAAATATTTAGATGATATCGGAGATATGGGCTCTTATTTACTGGAAATTAGTTTACAAATTTAGTAGCATCTGGAATATATTATCCTTTCTTCCAGCTATTTAGCCTTATTGATGAACACAGGAAGTAGAAAGCAGCTTAACAAGGACAGGAAGAATACAACTGGAGACATTGCAGTCAAAAAGGAAAACTAAGTTTGCTTTAAAACAAGTTAATTTCTGAGTTGGTGCATCTAAGTGGTCATTTAGAATTGCTTTCAAAAGATAAGGGGTTTGAGGCAGTTTCCTTCTGACCCCAAATTTAAAAGTTCAGCATGTCAAACAGTTACTTTGTTTAAAACAGCCCATCTGTACTTCATTTATCTCTTTCTTTACGTGTCATCAGTTTCTGCAAAGTGTATTCCTAATATACTGAGACGTGTTGTGTGTATTGTGCGGTCTGTTCTCAGCCACTCTGATCTAAACAGTTTTCTTTCAGCAGGTGTGAGAACCCGACAGCAGGTTATAGATTTTGGTTGTACCTTTCCTCCTTTCCCTTTCTTCTCTTGAAGTACGAGGTTTCTTTTGATTTTTTTATACTTCAAACAACAAACTGAAAGCTCTTATGTTCCCGTTACAGTAGATCACATTGAATTAGTCTGAAATGTTCCTGACATGAAATGCAGGATATATGCTGCTCCTTGGAAATAAACAAGATTTAATCCTTAATACATGCTTAGTGCAATAGTAGTATTTAATTGTTCAGGTAAAGGATGACAAAAGATCATGATTAATAATTGCACCCTATTTCCATGTAAACGTGAATATTAAAGACTTGATTAAATGATGGCAGCCTGAGATCTGAGGCTGTCTTTCTACTTTGTTATGACCAGTGAAAATGAATTGTGAAAACATGCTGCTTTTTTTTTTCTTTTCCTTTTTGTAGGGGTTTTGTCTCCGATAGCCGAAATAATTTACAGATGCGAGGTTTGGTCATATTGCTTATTTCCAAAGCTGCTGGACCCAGCACAGCAGAACTCTCTTTCCAGCACAGCATGGTCAGTGGAATTTATTCCAGGTATGTATAACTTTCTTTAGCAAGATACACCAAGGTACATTTGATGGGCAGCTTTATGGTGGTATCAAAGCATCTGAAGTGGCCTGCTCAGCTGTTAAGGAAAATACTCTTTATATAGCTCTTATAATATCCACACCTATATCTTCATTGTGGCTTTTGGGCACAATCAAATTAAAAACATTTGGATCAAGATAGTTACTTCAAAGTTTATGTTAAGAGGAGCTTGGAATCAAAAAAGTAAAGAAGCTAATTATAGGGTATTTTCATTTTGGGTTGCCTAGGTGTTACTCGATTACATCTTACTAGAAATTTCAGAGTCAGATTGCCAGTCTAGTGGAATACCAGTTGGTTTCACTGAGCACATAAGTTTTGCTATAACCCTTTTGCAAGATATTTTCTCATGCAACAGCAGTGTAGAATAAAGTTTTTACCTCTCACGTGTCACAGCAGAATTACTGAGCCTACCATTAAGGTTCCTCAGGCTCTCACTGAGATAATTTAGCTTCATCGAGTTCCTAAATATTTTTTTAAGTATTTAAACTAAATTGCGTAATGCTAGTATCAACAGCAATAAAAAGTAGTGGTTGCCCTCTTTTCTATATTTGACAGTTAACTGTTCCACTGAAGTAATAAGTGAGATCTGGCTGAAAAATGGTAAAATTTGAATTTTTGAAGTCTTTTTGAAAAATTATGAGTGTTCCTTGGTGGAGGGAACAGACTCCCATATTTTCGGTTAACTGTGTTTCTGATCACTGTGATGCATTAAGTGAAAATGCACAAAATTAGTGACATGTTTGTATCCTGATATGTTTTAGAATTGCAGAGATAGCATTATAACATTGAAAAGACCAAACAGAGATGTTAAAAAAATATGCAGTATCTTAAAATAACAGAGAAGGAAAATATGTATGAATGGTACAGACAGAAATAACAGTAAGTAAGAAAAAAGACGAGGCTATAAAAGACGCTTGTTATTGAGGGCTGTGTTGTCCCTTTAGCAGTTTAATTCCATTCTTGTTTTGTTTCGTCCTTAATGTCCCCTTAGGGTTGTAAAATTTTTATATTTATATGCAAATGATGCTGTATGAAAGCATAATTCTAGTTAGTTAATTATGGCACAGGAGGTATTTTAGTTTGTTTTGTAAATGATTAAAAAAGTTTACCTTAAGTATGCCTCATGAAAGGAGAGAAAAAGCATTATTTTTTGATAACTAAGTTCTTGAGTATGATGATTCTGACCATGGAGGTAACGTTTGAGCGTTTAAAGCTGCCGTTGGGAAGGTGACTAGTGGAAGTATTCATTAAGGAGCAAATAAGACCTTGAATTAATAATGAGCCAGTTGGTGTAAATGGACATCGTTGGAACTATGCCAGTTCAACCAGCTGAAAATCTAGCCTAATAATCTAAGTTTGAGCAAGTCAATAACCATTATAATATCTAGTTCAGAGTTACAAAGGTACTCAAAAAATGAAGCAGTTTTGAATACTCCCACACAGGTTCACTTAAGGTTGATTACTATCTGCAAAAGTGATAACTATGGAGTTGTTAATTTAAACGGTTTTTCAGTGACACTTTAGCGTGGTGTAAATGCGAGGAGAATGCCGATGCCTTGTTTCATTTTGTGCTATAGTGGCCAGTTCTTGCCCTCTGCTGAAGTCACTGTGGGCTTTGACTTTGAACTCCTTTCTTTCTTTAAGGTACTTTTCCAAACACACTCTTAAATGTGAGTCTAATTTCTGATTTTGATTTCTCCATTGTATAAAGCGAAGAGAACAGGCAGCTTGTAAAATGTGAACTTGAAGGGCTTTTGTGGTTGTTTTATGTATTACAAATAGTGTTTTACAAGCTGCTTTCTCCTGAATGAGAACAAAAGGACATGGTTTTCCATTAGTGCGTTTTTGTCTGCTGTCTTGGTTACAATGCAATTATATATGTTGTGTATATTAGACATACATATCAAAAGCAAAGTATATCCCTCAGTGATATAAAGTGAAGAAGTATGCTTAATCCTTTATTGTTCATGTATGTCTGTAGCTTTGGAAAGTATTTTTTGGAAATAGATTCTTACAGATTTTCAGCTCAGCTGTAAACTATACAGCTCTTTTTGTCGCCATGCCATATAATTACTTCATCTTTATATATAATATTTTGCTGGAAATATTACTTCTGGCACTGTAATGAGCATCTTCGTTGCCTGATACGTGCTGTGAACATTATACTGTGGACTATTAGCTGTGGTATGGCTTACTTGATTTTTAGGGTACTTAGTAGTGATTAATTAATTGCATTCCCGAAATTTGAGCATGAGCTAAGTTGTTCCAGTACTTGTCAGCGATTGCACCAGCCCAATCTTTCTTTTCCCGCTGTTTGTGTTGGAACCAGCTCTTGTGCTCTCTCTAAATATTCAGTCCCGCAGTGGATAGCTAGGCTACATCAGTCCACTCTATCTGGTACTAAACGTACAATCTGTGACCAGGAGGATCTAACACTGCATTTAACTTAGAAAACCACAAAAAAACATGGTGGACTTTTTCATCCTGAATCTGACCTGTTCTGCATAACCTCTTTTTCCTCTTTCCTGAATCACAATATAAGCAAGCCATACAATAACTATAATTAAAGCAGAAAAACACTGAGAGCTGGACTTGGAATAGCCAAAACTTTTTTTTTTCCCTATTCTCCTGATCTCTAGATATGTCAATTCATGGGACAATTGACCTAAATGTATAAAAATAGATTAGCTAGCTGCTTAGCTGGCATCTGTTTTTTTTACTGGTACACAATGGAACAAAACTGATGCCTGCTACCAGAGAGCAATTTTTTCCAGGATAATGAGGATTACAATTTAGGTCGCTACAGGAGCAGGGGTAGTGTAGTTATATGGTGCTGCCTCTGGCCGGCATTGCCTCCAGCTTTAGCACTTCATAATTTGCAGGAGACGTGATCTGCCCGCATTAAGCTGGGGGTGTGGGGGTCAGTGCATGCGAGGATATCATAGTAACTGCTGGTTGCCTTGTGAGCCGTGCTGAAGATAAGGAGGGGAAAGTGTTATAAAAGTCTGCTTGGCATCCTTTACTCCATACAGCCACCTCCCTATCCTGCTGCCAGCATCCTGCCTTTATTCCTATTGGTGGGGAAAAGAACCTGGCTTTACTTCCAGCTCAGCACCAGTGATCCCAAAAGAGGATGAAGAGGAGAAGTAGCAACATGATAAACAGCTCCATTTCAGCTGCTGGACAGATTTCCTGAAGTTGAAACTTTCTGCTGGTCTCTTAGCTTTTAGGAAAATATTTTCTTGGCTACAGAAGCATTGCAAATGTAGTGATGAAGTGCCGTGCTCACTACAGAGCACGCAAGCGGTATCGTGTAAGGGTCATGATGTCATTGCCTGTACTCCAGCAAAGCGTACATCCCGGATTCCCTTGAACCTCTTTCCTACTCCCATGCTGAAGAGAAAGCAGGACTCGCATTTGGGTTTAGGCAGAATCGAAGTAATGATAATTTATTATGCTAATAGTATCAGAGAACACCTCAGGCATGACGCAGGCGCCTAGATCTTCATAAGACCTTTGAGGCCCATTTCCGTACTGGTGATGATATTAGAGTCTGATACTCCTCTCTGTTTCCTCCTTTCAGAGCAAAACTCAATGGAATAGTCAAGTATGCAGCTTGCTGTTCTCTCACTTTGCTGTTGGAAGTGAAGTTTTAAATTGAAGCTCCAGGATTATCTGTTTCTGAACACTTACAGCTTCATGCTTCCTAGTTGGAGCTAGATTCTCACATTCGAAGATACCCAGACTGGCTTGGGTCCTCTCACTAAATACCCAAAGGGGTGTCTTTTTCTGTTCATGTCTGGCGCTGCCAGACACTACTGGCTGAGGACTTGAGGAATCTCCTTGGCTTTATACTGAGTAATGAATTCCTCACCTGGCCTCTGTATTGCAGCTTAAAATGCAAGTGACACCAAAGAACAAACTTACGCCATCTCTTTGGGCCTCAGTATCCTTGGCTCTAATGCAGCAAGTTATTTTCTTCTCTCTCTCAAGTTTTGCATCTTTTTTCTTTTTTTTTTTTTTCCGTTAGTGCCAGTTTCAAAAATACCTTCTAGCACTGACATCCATTGAGTCAGCTCTGCAGATTTCCTTGGATGCTTGTCAGAAGTTTAAAACAAAACAAATCCTTTTTTTGGTCAGATCTGCCTGTGCATTCACACTGGTGAACCCTATGGTCATTGACAAGCAAAGACCTTTAAAGCTCCAGAAATTCATCTCTTACAAGATGAACATGCTTTCCTACAAGATGAAGGTACTCACTGGATAAACTTGTCTCTGAATCAAAATTCTTCCTGCTGTTGGGAAGAGTGGTGGTAATACTGTAGTGACAATGATTGTGAGCATGTACTCCTTTTACTTAGTGTTTTAATAATGATTTTGGACCCAGCGTTGATTCTGCTTCCAGCAAAAGCCCAGTTTAAGTGGAAGTTAGCAGCAGATGCCAAGTCCTTGTTGTGGGGATGGGTCTTTTGCTCATCAGGCTCCAGCAGCAATTCTACTAAGTGCCCTGGGTACCCTTTTTAGGAGATACACACACAGAAGTGTGTCCTTTAGCCTCACACTCTGTGTGTAATGCTGTAGATGGTGTGCGTTCACAAATATGTAGCTCACAAGAAGCCACACTGATGTTGGCATAATCCACCTGCTAGGTGTCCTTAAGGTCATTTGAGAGTTGAATACTCAAAGAACTTTCCATTGTAAGATTTTCACGATGAGTAACGTGGGCTGCATGAAGGCCTACTATGAGAATACAAGCGTAAAAGTCTTCTGTGTTCTAGGGATGTGCCACCAAAAGTTGCTGTGTATTAGTGGGGACACGGGGAATCTCTTCCATTTCTCATAGGTGACAGCTCGCCATCTGCAGTTCTGTCTGTTCTTTCTCCAAAACCCATGCCACGGCAGGCGTAACAGAGGTGATGCTGTGCTTGTTAGAGCAGTCTTTAATT